CATGGCAGCTTCGGAGGGTGGACTCTGTGGCATTACGCCCCGCTGAGATCCCTCCCCTCCTCAGGCTCCACCCCCAAATCTCCAGGAATCCCCCAACCTGGAGTTGTCAATTCTACTCCCGGAGCTCCTCTTGAGCAAGGCGGTGCCCAGAGGTGTCTCAGCTGCCTCCTTCTGGGGTGGTGCAAGTTTGGTGTAGTGGTTAAGCGCACGGAATCTAATCTGGGAGAACCGGGTTTGATTTCCCCATTCCTCTACATGCAGCCAGCTGGGTGACCCTGGGCCAGTCACATTTCTCTCAGAGCTGTTCTCTCAAGGACAGTTCTCTCAGAGCTCTCTCGGCCCCACCTACCTCACAGGGTGTCTGTTGTGGAGAGGGGAAGGGAAAGGAGTTTGCAAGCCGCTCCCTCCTCCTCTTCTTCTTCTTCTCAGAACCCTCCTTGTCTGACTCTTCGGTCTCTCTGCCTGAGAAGGAGGAGTCCATACTCTGGTCTGTGACACCATACTCTTGAAACCCTCCTGCCCTCTCGCTGGAGTTATACCATCCTGAAGGCAGTTTGAATGAGGGTTCTACATAGGACCGACTCGTATCCTGGCTCGGCCATCTGTGATCTTCTCCCCCCCCCCCCATTACTTCAGATACGTTGTCCACTTTTTAATTTTTAAAGGCGCCTTTAATAGAAAACCTTTCTTTTTTGTTAGTAAGCGGACAAAGGCTTGATTGCATTTGTCCATTTGTTCACCACCCTGCTAATAAAAAAAGAAAAGTTTTCTCGTGAAAGGTCAAAATTACACTGGGTATCATGGAAGAAAAGTCCCTGATGTAGGGTTACCAACTCTGGGTTGAGAAATTCCTGGAAATTTGGGGATAGAGTCTAGGGAGGGCAGGATTTGGGGAGGGGAGAGACCTTAACATGGTGTAAATGCCGTCCAGTCCACCCTCCCGAAGTAGCCATTTTCTCCAGGGGAATGGATATCTGTAGTCTGTAGAGAAGTTGAACGAACGTTTGAGGCCATTTGGCACCTTATTATTTATTTATTTAATTGTTTTTCAAATTTATATTCTGCCATCCCTGCAACGGGCTCAGGGTGGCTCACAACAAATAATTAGGCCATTTGGCATCACAAAAAATAAAATAAATAAACAGATCATTAAAACACTAAAACAAAGCAGATTGCACCAAATGTGAAGACCAACAAAGTTTGATTCTGGTCATCAGCTTTCTGTGTGCATGCGCACTTCTTCACATAATTGCAGGAGATCGCCAGACCCTGCCTGGAGGTTGGCAACACTCTCCTGATGGCATCACGGGATGAGCGACCAATCAATACCGTGCATGGTCAGTTTCTGATTCTAACTCGCAAGCCTGTGTTTCTTTCAGTTCTTGGAAAGGAAAGGTACGTGGACTGGATGTGGTAAGGGTGCTTCCAGATCTAAAAATGTTACATCTATCTTTATCCTTTGCTTCTCACCTCTGGGAGGCCATTGTGGTTAAGCAAGAGAGGCTGCAGCTGTTGTTCACGCAAACTAAGAACATAAGAACGTAAGAGAAGCCAATGTTGGATCAGGCCAATGGCCCATCCAGTCCAACACTCTGTCACACAGTGGCCAAAAATACCAGGTGCCATCAGGAGGTCCAGCAGTGGGGCCAGGACACTAGAAGCCCTCCCACTGTTGACCCCCCCACCAAGCACCAAGAATACAGAGCATCACTTGCCCCGGAGTCCCTATCTATACCTTGTGGCTAATAGCCACCGATGGACCTCTGCTCCATATGTTTATCTAACGCCCTCTTGAAGCTGTCTATGCTTGTCGCTGCCACCACCTCCTGTGGCAGTGAATTCCACGTGTTAATCACTCTGGGTGAAGAAGGACTTCCTTTTATCCACTCTAACCCGACTGCTCAGCGATTTCATTGAGTGCCTACCAGTTCTTGTATTGTCATTGAGTGCCCACAAGTCCTTGTATTGAAGCAAAGTGCTATGGAAGATTGTGCAAAGAGCTTCATCATCTGAGAACCTGGCGACTTTTACCTTGAAGGCCCTTCCAAGCGTTTGGCATGTTGTGTAAATTGTATTAAATGGGTGCACAGATGCAATTAGGGTTATCAGCCTCTAGGTGGGGCTTGGATTTCTCCAAGAATTACATCTGATCACCATACACAGAGATAATTTCCCCAGCCAACCTCCAGATGATAGAGATCAGGTTCCCTGGAGAGAATCGATGCTTTAGTTTAGAGGATGGACTCTTATGGTGTTCTCTACCCAATGAGGTCCTTCTTGTCCCTAAACCTTGCCTTCCCCCAGCCCAGGGGCATAGCCAGAAATTTTTTGTTGGTGGGGCATGGGGAAATTGGGGGGGGGGGGGCACCCCGGCCGCGCCTGCTGCTCCTCTTGCAGCAGCAGAAGCAGCAGCTCCGGCTCCGCTTCAACCTCTAGTCGTTCTCTAGTCCTTTTGAGTGGAGAGACTCGATTCCGGGCTGCTTTTCTGTGTAAGCCAAGGAGGGGGGAATGTCTGATTCTCTCTATTTTGCATTTTGCAGTTTTATTTATTATTTATTTTTTTGCAATTTTGTTTTATTTTTTGCATTGTTAAAAACCTAAAAACTGAAGCTTCCCTGTCTGTGCCTGAGGTCATTTTGGAACGAACACACACACACTGAATTTTTAATTCTGGATTTTTATTGGGGGGTTTTGTATGAGGGGGGGCGGCGCTCATCTGTGGAGGGGCATTGTCCCCCAAATGCCCCATGGCTACAGGCCTGGCCCAGCCTCTGACCCTAAATCTCCAGGAATTTACCATCCCAGAGATGGCAACCCTATCTGGAGGTAGGGTTCTCAGACCAGCACTGGAAGCCCCCAGGAGACACCAGGGTGGAGTCCTGATTATTGGCATGGCACCAATGCTGCTACATCACTTCCTGCGCAAACCCCGGGGGGGCGCTCTACGATTCACATGGCTTTCTATGGTTTAGCTATATCGGGGGACCTGGCCAGCCTTCCTGGAGGAAATGGCGGCTTTGGAGGGCAGACTCTATGTCACGTGCCCACTGAGCTCCCTTCTCAAACTTTGCCCTCCCCGGGCACACCTGCCCTCACGTCGCTAGGGATTCCCTGTGTTGGAGCTGGCAGCCCTAAATGCAACTGGGGGGAATTGGTGCTTAAAAAGCAAGACTCCGCCCCTCATTTGTGGGAGGAGTAAGGCTATATTGGCTTTTAATGGTTTTAAAATATGCTTTTATCGGGTCTGTTTTAAATAGTTAACCACCTCGGTGGCCCTTGAGAGGGCGGGAAGGCAGGATATAAGTCTTGTAAATAAATAAATATATGCAGGAAGAGGGAAATCCTTGTACGGAAACGGCCAATTAGGAGGCACCCTAAGGCCAAATCCCGGGGCCAGCGTGAGCAAACAAAGAGCTTGCTTGAGGAAACGGTAATTGAGAGGCACTCGGGTTGCCAACTTGCAAGTGGTGCCTGGAGATCTCCCAGAATGACAGCTCCTCTCCAGGCTACGGAGATCAATTCCCTTGGAGAAAATGGCTGCTTTGGGAGTTGGGCTGTACGGCCTCATACCCGGGTTGCCAATCTACAGTTGGGGGCAGGGGATCCCTCAGGTTGGAGCCCCTCCCCCTACTTCAGGGCTATCAGAAAGCAGGGTGGAGCTGCCGATGCTCCATTATACCCTGTCCCCATAGGGTATAACGGAGAATCAGTTCAGGAGTATCTGGGGCTCTGGGGGGGGTGTTGTTTTTTCAGTTAGAGGCACCAAACTTTCAGCATAGCTGCTGGTGCCTCTCTTTTAAAAAATCCCCAGGGTTCAAAAAGATTGGACCAGGGAGTCCAATTCTACGAGCCCCAAAAGAAGGGCCCCCCATCCTCCATTATTTCCAACGGAGGGAAAGGATTTTAAAGGAACGGGGTCCCTTTAAATGCGACGGCAGCTCACCAGGAACTCACTTCAGAATTCCGTCTCCCAGAGCCTTCTGGTAAATCCCCCCCCCCCCCGTCTGCGTCTGCTTGTCGGCCTCACCGGGCAACCCTACATTATACCCTGCTGAGGTCCCGCCCTGCCCCAAACCCCGCCCTTCCCAGGCTCCACCCCCAAAATCTCCAGGTATTTCCCCAACCAGAGCTGGCAATGGCAACCCTAAGAGGCATCTGTGAAAGTGTTTGTCATTTGCTCCTGGCAACCACGATAGTGTTGCCATAGATGCTGGATAGGGTTGCCGGGTCCCTTCTGGCCACTGGTGGGGGCAGATCCAGGTTGAGAAATTCCTGGGGATTTGGGGTGCTTCCGGGGGGTGGACAGGGACCTCCATGGGGTACAGTGGCATAATGTCTACCTTCCAAAGCTTCCATTTTCGCCAGGGACACTGATCGCTGTAGTCTGGAGATGAGCTATAATTCCGGGGAATCCCCAGGTCCCACCTGGAGGCTGGCATCCCTAATGCCGGCAGAAGTCACTCTTCCAATGAGCATAGGTGTATCGTCTTTGTGGCGCCCCACCATTCTTTATGTCATGCCATGGGTTTTTGCACCTGTTTCAGCACACTACAGCACTGCTAACTGGGGGAGCAAACTCTCTTTGTCCAGCCCTGTTGGCATCCTACACTTCCTTCCTGGGGAGTGAGCCCTGTTGAACCAGACAAAACTCGCTTCCCAATGATCATGCGCATTCTGCCTGCTTTTTGTGCCTCCCCAGCTGTAGCCATGGCCCGGGGACACCGTTGCCGAAATCTCGAACGCAGGACAACCATTCCCTACCCGCAAGAAACGCAGCCCAGACTTCACCTGACACCGCTCGGGCCGCCGCCTTGGCTGCCTGGAATTCACACCCTGATTGTCGGGTGCAGCGTAGCTACATTCCCTTTCCCAAGAGAAGGCCAAGCGTCAGTCAGGTCTGGGCCCATCCCACCAGCTGCACCGGGGAGGCGTGGTGCAGGGACCTGAACTTCCTCTTCGCCTTTCAAAAACGCTCCTCAGTTCCAATTCTGCCTCCGTTCAGCTGGTCGGTCCCTCTCTCCCCAGCAGAAGGGATGAGCCGCTGTGCAGAGAATCTGAGGGCCTTCCTAGCCCAGGTGGAGGCCAAAGCTGGGCAGGAGAAAGGGCAGCTGGCGGAGGAATTCCAGGTGAGCGGCCCTCTCTGGGAGGGGGAGAGGGTGGCACTGTGTATTCCTAGACGAGGCTTTCCCCTGGCTTTAGCCGGCCAGCCCCTGTTTATGTCAGTCTACTGCAATTAGGGATTCTCCGTTCTGACGCAGAGCGGGCAACCCGGTGGCCACCTGCTCCCCCTCTTCCTTTCCGGTTCTCCTTATGAACGGCAGGGGCAGGCAGAAATCCACCAGGTGCAGCCTTTCCTACCACTGCGACTCTCTTTGAGCAGACTTCCCATGTGTTGCATTTCTGTTTCCTGTGTTCTTGTAAAGGTACGGGTGCCCTCTAGGAAAGTGGGTGTTTGCTCTTTCAGAACCGTCAGAGAATGAAATGGTGGTGCTAGAGTTTTTTCTCCTAGGGTGGGGAAAGTGTGTGGACTGTAATTGAGGGGAGGGGAGGGGAGAGGGAACAGGCCCTGAGGCGCTTCTCAACCAGGGCTCCTGGATATGTGAGAATAAAGGGACGCAACCTACCTAGCCTAACCTACCTCACAGGGCTGTTGTGAAGGCGAGACAGAGGAGGCGCTGCCCAACCAGGGCTCCTGGATCTATGAGAATAAAGGGACGCAACCTACCTAGCCTAACCTACCTCACAGGGTTGTTGTGAAGGCGAGACAGAGGAGGCGCTGCCCAACCAGGGCTCCTGGATATGTGAGAATAAAGGGACGCAACCTACCTAGCCTAACCTACCTCACAGGGCTGTTGTGAAGGCGAGACAGAGGAGGCGCTGCCCAACCAGGGCTCCTGGATCTATGAGAATAAAGGGACGCAACCTACCTAGCCTAACCTACCTCACAGGGTTGTTGTGAAGGCGAGACAGAGGAGGCGCTGCCCAACCAGGGCTCCTGGATCTGTGAGAATAAAGGGAGGAGGGAACTTCACATGTCGAGAACTGGTGTGTGTGGTGTCTGTGCGAGACCCAGGGTCAGATCCCCACAGCACCCTGGAAGTTTGGTGGGTGAACTCATGCCAGTCATATCCTTTCAGCCTAACCTACCTCACAGGGTTGTTGTGAAGGCGAGACAGAGGAGGAGAGAATGACATAAGCTACTCTGGGTTCCCGTCAGGCAGAAAGGTGGGGTATGAATTAAGTACATAAGCAGATATTTTTAGGTGGGTAGCCATGTTGGTCTGAAGCAGCAGAACAACGTTTGCGTCCAGCGGCACCTTGAAGACCAACAAAGTTTTATTCGAGGTATGAGTTTTCGTGTTCACGCACACTTCTTCAGATACACACTTCTCCAGATTGCAATAAATAGATATTGCAATTGCTCGAGAACCACAAGGCGTGCATATTGTATGCAGAGGAAGCATCTTAGCAGCCGCAGTGTCCCGTCACATTCTTCCCTTATGGACTGTGTTGAATGACCGGGCAGAGGTCAAAGCAGTAGGCTTGCCAACCTCCAGGCGGGGCCTAGAGATCTCCCAAACTTACAACTCATCTCCAGGAGACAGGTCAGTTCCCCTGGAGAAAATGGCAACTTCAGAGGGTGAACTCCATGGTGCTATACCCCAGTGAAGTTCCTCCCTCTTAGAAAAGCCACAGTCCCTCAGGATCAAAAGTCATCCCATGCGCACGCACTCCGTCTGGCGTTGTGAGAACTTACTTCATGACTTCACGGGGCATGGTGAGTACTGAGAATAAGGGCTTTTACTATTTTGCAGCAACAGACTGACACATCCAACTCCTCTGGATCTAAAACCCCATATAAAGGCAAAAATATCTTGTTGTCATGACATATCGAATCTCTTTTGACTGTCACGTCACCCCTCAAAGAATCTTAGTAAGTCCTTGGGGATGCTGTGTTAGAGGGTTTTTCTATGGAACAGCGGTTTCTGGGGCTTCTTGGCTGGGAGCCACAAGAATTAACCAGCTTTGAAACTGCCTTATATTTGTGGTAGGGTTGCTGGAAGGAGACGAGAGGGGGGTAGGGTTGCCAGATCCAGGTCGGGAAGCTCCTGGAGATTTGGGAATGGAGCCTGGAGAGGACAGGGACCTCAGTGGAGCACAATGCCACAGAGTCCCCAACATTCCCTCACTTTTTCCCCCTACTGAGCAGAGCAGTTCACATCCTGAGTAGACTATAACTACCATATACTTAAAATGACAATATCCAAAGTCCATGGTGTGGATGATTAGACTAAGTAACTGAAGCACCGTGTATAATAATATCTAGTATGTTTATGAGATACTATTACAATAAAAAGGGCTGCGGTGGCTCAAGTGGTTAAGATGCTGAACTTCAGACCAGAAGGCTGGTAGCTCAGCAATTCGAGACCTGAGTGTGCCGCATGACGGAGTGAGCTCCCGTCTCTGGCCCCAGCTCCTGCCAACCCAGCAGTTCGAAAGCAAGACATTGCAAGTAGATAAATAGGTACTGCTTCGGTGAGAAGGTAACAGCATTCCGTGCGCCTCGGCGTCTAGTCATGCCGGCCACATGACCACGGAAACGTCTTCGGACAGCGCTGGCTCTTCGGCTTGGAAACGGAGAGGAGCACCGCATCCCTAGAGTCGGATTCGACTGGCTTTCGAGCAAGGGAAACCTTTACCTTTACTATCACAATAAAGCCAGCTGTGAACTCCTGTAGGTCAAGAACTACGTACATAATTTTTGACAAGTGATTCCCTCACTTGTGAAATGATGTAAATTCTGTGAAACTGTTTGGAGCTGACATTCTCAGTGCTCTGCGCTATCATAGAACTGGTACAAAGAATAGATTACCACTATTAGGGTTAAGACATCTGTTGCTGTAAGGCCTGGGGGGGAAATTGCGAAATGGGATTTTTTTACTGGTCCCCACAGCCTTTCAGGTTTCAGTCCGTCTCAGCGTTCTTCGAAGTCCTTTGCCAACCTTCAGCTCACCTCTGCGTCTCTTGAGTTTTTGTATATGACTTCAGAAATCCTGTTACTTTAAGCTTGTGTCTGAATTTATTTCCCGTTTGTATATTCTTTATTTAGTTATTCTGTTTGAATGATGAGTTATGCGATTATGGCCTCCTATTATTAGAATACATGCATTGTTAATGGCGTATTATTGCATGTAAACAACAGACCATCGTAACTCTTGAAGTTTATATAGTCTTTGCTGTAACAGTGTTTTCGTAAACGTCATATATAATCTCAAAATGGGCAATGGGCAGTGCACGACTCTGCGCGGTTCCAGATTGCTGCTGAGCAGGGCTTCCTGTGTTAATGAGCAGCCGCTCACGCGCACAGTTTATAGCAGAGGTGTCGGACTCGTTTGTTACAAGGGCTGGATCTGACATTAATGTAGGGTTGCCAGGTCTAGGTTGGAAAATATCTGGAGACTTTGGGGGTGGAGCCAGGAGAGGACGGGGTTTGGGGAGGGGAGGGGCTTCAGCATGGTACAATGCCATAGAGTCCACCCTTCAGAGCAGCCCTTTTCTCCAGGAGAGTTGATCTCTGTCAGCGGGAGATCAGTTGTAAAAGCGAGAGATCCCCAGGCCCCACCTGGAGGTTGGCAACCCTACATAAATGTCACTTTGTCAGGCCAGGCCATGTGTGCCGTAAAACCTAACGCTGGGTACCAGAGCTATAAACTGTATAAAGGACAGCAGCTGGTAAGCTCCGAGTTCGTGTATCCTCACTGGGAGGGGGGTGCAAAGGAAAACCCACACGGGCAGATCGGAGAGCCAGCAGTGCCGCACTGGGCAGACAGTCCCAAGCTGCTTGACTGCTGCAGATGAGGTTGTTCCGCCATGCCGGAGCCACAATCAGAGTGGCTCTGACCACTTCCCCCTGAACAGTCTCCTGTTCCCTCCCTTGCACTAGTTGCTCGCGGGTCGCATAAGAGCCCTGGAAGGGCCAGTTTCGGCCCCCGGGCCTTATGTTTGACACCCCTGGATTAGAGGGAACACTGGAGTCCACCCTCCAAAGCATCCGTTTTCTCCAGGGGAACTGATCTCCGTCGTCTGGAGATGAGCTGTAATTCTGAGGGATCCCCAGGTCCCACCTGGAGGCTGGCATCCCTAATTCATAGCACGGGCATGGCTTGTTGGGAAAGGATACAAGCCATGATCTGTCACTTGCTGGGTTTTTAGGTTTATGCAGATGAAGGTGCAGGTTTTATTTTCAGACTGGGATCTCCACTAGTCAGGGGCAGGTTTTCTCTCACACCCCAGCTGCGTCCCTTTCTTTTCTCCCATACAGCTGCATGGTTGCAATGTGTTCCTAAGAAGAAGAGCAAAACAGCTGGGTAGGCTGTTGGGATGGGGGGGGGCTGACTATCTGGCACTTGGGACCAAACTAGATGATACTTTTTTGGCGAGTCAGGCCCAGGTCCCCCAGACCCGACTTGCTTCCCTGCTAGGGTCGGCAGGTCCAAGTCGGGGTTTATACCTGGAGATTTGGGGGGTGGATCCTGGGGAGGGCGTGGTTTGGGGAGGGGAAGGTCCTCGGCAGGGTGTGATGCCACAGAGTCCATGAAAAGTACGCAGACGGAGAGTGATTTCAGCAAAGTGTACTTTATTCGATCAGGAACAAGACGACTTTGGCTGGCTCGCAGGCCGGCTTATATTCCTCGAGAAACCACCACCCAAAACACACCCCCACTTCCCAATAGGTTATTTACAGTGGCCGAGAGTCCCATAGGCTCTCGGCCGGGAACCTAGCCCCCGATTGGAGTGGGCTAGGATCCGCATAGTCCATTGTCTCTTGGAGCGAAGCTCGACGTTTGTGCCTGACCACATGGAGCCCAAGCAGGCCACGTGGTCTGGACTGGATACATTACAGTCCACCTTCCAAAGGGGCCATTTTCTCCAGGGGAGCTGATCTCTGCCACCTAGAGATCTGTAGTAATAGCGGGAGATCCCCAGTCCCCACCTGGAGGTTGGCACCCCTGTTCCCTGCAGCCGGTGACCATGAGGCTCCAACATGGGGCCGATAACTCCACCCCCCAAGGCCATTTTGGCTTAGGAAAACTGGATATGAGGGTTGCCAACTTCCAGGTGTGGA